ATCCATAGGAATCCCGAACCCAATAAAATACCCAATATTAGCGGTGTGTGTGTCTGCCCAAGGACAAGTTAAGGTAAAACCTAATAGAGGCGTCATACATAATAACCTAATAAAAGTAAATGTAACAACTACTACAGTGTAACAAAACAGGAATATTAAATGTGGTCTCTTAAACATAAGATCTCTAGCATCTAAAGCAATATTGGTAAATGATTTAATATCAGATTATAATATTGATATATGCTGTCTCACTGAAACTTGGTTGAGACATGAAGAATATGTCAGCATAAATGAGGCCACTCCACCCAGCCATATCAATACTCATATTGCCCGAGGCACGGGCCGAGGAGGTGGAGTTGCAGCAATCTTTGACTCAAGTTTACTTATCAATACTAAACCAAAATTAAATTATACCTCCTTTGAAAGTCTCGTTTTTAGTCTTACGCATCCGACCTGGAAAACTTTGCAGCCAATCTTATTTGTTACAGTGTACCGTGCACCAGGTCCTTATTCAGACTTCTTATCTGAATTCTCTGAGTTTTTATCAACTTTGGTTCTTAAAACAGATAAAGTAATTATCGTAGGTGACTTTAATATTCATGTTGATAAAAATAGCCTTACTGTTGCATTTAACTCTATATTAGATTCTGTTGGTTTCTGTCAGAGTGTAAATAAACCAACCCACTGCTATAATCACACTCTCGACCTTGTTCTGACTTATGGTATTGAAATTGAGCAACTATTAGTCGAACCGCATAATCCTGCTTTATCCGACCATTTCTTAGTAACTTTTGAAGTACTGTTACGAGTCTACAAAGCATTAGTCAAAAGCTCCTGCAGCAGAAACCTATCTGTTAGTGCTATAGCCAAATTTAAGGAAGAGATTCCACCAATACTTAACTCGATAGCATGTCTGCATGTAGGGGAGGAAACTTATACAAAATGTACACCACCCCAAATTGATCATGTTGTTGATAGTGCTACAGATGCGCTACGAATAAAATTAGACTCTGTTGCTCCTTTGAAAAAGAAGAAAATAAAACAACATAGATTAGCTCCATGGCATAATGCCGAAACCCGCAAAATAAAGCAAAAGTCGAGACAACTTGAAAGGATATGGCGTTCCACTAAACTTGAAGAATCTCGTTTAATTTGGCATATTGCTCTCAATGAATATAAGAAAGCACTGCGTAAAGCGAGAGCAGCCTACTACTCTTCATTAATAGATGAGAATAAGAATAATGCAAGATTTCTTTTCAGCACTGTAGCCAGGCTGACAGAGAGCCACAGCTCGATTGAGCCTTCTATTCCCATAGCACTCAGTAGTAATGATTTTATGTGCTTTTTTAACGATAAAATTGTTACTCTTAGAAACAAAATGAATGACCTCTTGCCTTTGACCAGTATAGTGTTATCAACAGCTCCCGGAAACGTAAGTTCTAATATTACACTAGATAGTAAACTAGAATGCTTTTCAGCCATTAACCTTGAACAATTAAATTCAATGATTCTCTCTTCTAAACCATCAGCGTGTATGTTAGACCCAATTCCAACTAAGCTGTTGAAGGAAGTTTTTCCATTAATTAGCACTTCTTTATTAAATATTATGAATATGTCTTTATTATCAGGCTATGTTCCACAATCATTCAAAGTAGCAGTGATAAAACCGCTTCTTAAAAAGCACAACCTCGATCCAGAGGTTTTAGCCAATTATAGACCTATTTCCAATCTTCCGTTCCTCTCAAAAATTCTTGAGAAAGCGGTCGCAAAACAGTTGTGTGATTACTTAAAAAACAATGATTTATTTGAAGATTTTCAGTCTGGCTTTAGAACACATCATAGCACAGAGACAGCTCTGGTTAAAGTCACAAATGACATTCTAATAGCCTCTGACAAGGGACGTGTCTCTATTCTTGTTTTGCTCGATCTCAGTGCTGCATTTGATACTATCGACCATGATATCTTATTGCAAAGACTAGAGCACTTAGTTGGCATACAGGGAACTGCTTTAGGCTGGTTTAGGTCCTATCTATCTGAACGCTCTCAGTTTGTACGTGTCAATGATGAATCTTCCACGCAAACCAAAGTTAGCCATGGAGTGCCTATATATATAGTGACCTATTTTGTTCACATTATATATGCTTCCGTTAGGCAATATTATAAGGAATCATTCTGTACATTTTCATTGTTATGCGGATGATACTCAACTATATTTATCAATCAAGCCTGATGAAATTAATCATCTAAATAAAATTCAAGACTGCCTTAAGGACTTAAGAACGTGGATGACCTTAAACTTTTTGATGTTAAACACGACCAAAACTGAAGTTATTGTACTTGGCCCGAAGAATCTACGAAACAAATTATCTAAGGATATACTAACCATGGATGGCATTAATTTGGCCTCCAGTGAGACTGTAAGGAATCTTGGTGTTATATTTGATCAGGATTTATCCTTTAACGCTCACATAAAATCAATTTCAAGGACCGCCTACTTCCATCTACGTAACATTGCAAAAATCAGGCATATCTTGCCTCAAAACGATGCAGAGAAACTAGTCCATGCATTTGTTACTTCAAGGCTGGATTATTGTAACTCTTTATTATCAGGGAGTACCAAGAAGTCAGTCAAGTCGCTTCAGCTGATTCAAAATTCTGCAGCTCGTGTACTAACCAGAGTTAGGAAAAGGGACCACATTACTCCTGTTCTGGCTGCCTTACACTGGCTCCCTATAGAACACAGGATAGCATTTAAAATTATTCTTCTCGCCTACAAAGCCCTTAATGGGCAGGAGCCATCTTACCTTAAATAACTCATTATACCCTACTGTCCTACTAGGGCATTGCGTTCCAAGAATGCAGGGTTGTTGGTTGTTCCTAGAGTCTCTAAAAGTACAATGGGAGCCAGAGCCTTTTCTTATCAAGCTCCACATTTGTGGAATCAGCTTCCAGTTTGTGTTCGGGCGGCAGACACCCTATCGGTTTTTAAGAGTGCGCTTAAGACCTTCCTTTTTGATAAAGCTTATAGTTAGGGCTGATTAGATTCAGCCCCTAGTTTTGCTGATATAGGCTTAGTTTGTCGGGGGACATCTTACTTCTTCCTTCTCTCTGTCTATACCTGTGTACTCTCATGTTCCGATTAACCCAGCTTCCCCAAATTTCTTTCTTTTTTGGTGTCTATATACGCCGGGATCCGGAGTCATGGATGATCCTGCGCTCCTCTGTCCTGGATCGCGAGCACTGGATCTTGAGTCGTGGCTGTGGTCCTGGATCATAGGTCCTGGATGGATATCCTCGTGGATTCATCTTCCTATTATACACACATGCATTTCCAAACATTTGGACTACCTATGTTGCAAATGTATTATATTTTCAATTTACACACGGCATCTATTGCACGTCTGTCCGTCCTGGGAGAGGGATCCCTCCTCTGTTGCTCTCCCTGAGGTTTCTCCCATTTTTCCCTTTAAACTGTGGGTTTTCTTCGGAAGTTTTTCCTTGTACGATGTGAGGGTCTAAGGACAGAGGGTGTCGTATTGTCATACTGATATTTTGTAAAAACTGTAAAGTCCACTGAGACAAATGTAACATTTTTGATATTGGGCTATAAATAAACATTGATTGATTGAAAATACTCATACTATATAAATATAGTTGTATTGTGATGTACATGAGAAAAGCTGTGCTAAATGAAGGTCTCTCACTGTTGAGTAACAAAGACTGTATTTAGAACACAGCCAGGGCCTGTCCTGATGGGAGTGTGTTTGCAGACAGCAGAATTACCTCCGTTTAACAAAAAAGGGTTGAAAAATGTGGAATTCTTTCATATTGAGTCTTTAATCCAACATTTCATTTCACTATATTACAAATTTTAGGGGGATTATAATGTATTTTAAATCCTTTAAGAGAGAGATTACAGAGAAAATTCGCAGATTAGTCCTTCTCATGGCAGTAGTTTTAGGAGGTTTAAAGCCTTCCCAATGAAAACACAACAATAATTAAAGCTTTATTTCGCTTCTATATGAAGATGAAGTAATCCGCCATCAATTCGATTAACCTTTGAAATTCAACTCGTTCTCTAAATGTGTATTTTTTACAGTTTTAGCTGAAGAGAAAGCACAAAGTGGCACAGTTTTTCTGCAGCTCCTGTGTGAGCCACTGAGTTGAGTCTCTACGGTTCTCATGGTGAGTTTAAGTTCCTCTCTTCGCTGGGATTTCTCTCTCCGTCTCATCAGACCGAGAATCCTCCTGACAGCATCATGGCCACAGAAGAAGCTCCCACTGAAGTCTCCGCCGCCGCCGCCCCGGCAAAGGCACCAGCCAAGTCCCCGAAGAAGAAGGCAGCCAAGCCGGCCAAGAAGGTTGGTCCCGGCAGCCGCTGAGCTCATCTTGAAGGCGGTCACCGCCTCCAAGGAGCCGTAAAGGGATCTCTTACATCGCGGTGAAGAAGGCGCTGGCCGCTCAGGGCTACGAACACACCGCTCACATTAAACGTGCCGTGAAGAGGTTACTCGAGAATGGAGCCCTGGTGCAGGTCAAGGGAATCGGAGCCACCGGCTCCTTCAAGGCCGCCGAGAAGCCCAAGAAGGCAGCGAAGAAGCCCGCAGCCAAAGCCAAGAAGCCGGCAGCAGCAGCGAAGAAACCCGCCGCTAAGAAGCCAGCTGCCAAGAAGGCAGTAACTCCCAAGAAGGTAGCGAAGAAGCCGGCTACTGCTGCCAAGAAAACCCCCGTGAAGAAGATCACTAAGAGCCCGAAGAAGAAGGTGGCGGCCAAGAAGGCAGCACCCAAGAAGGCAGCGACCCCCAAGAAGGCAGCGACCCCCAAGAAAGCTGTGAAGAAGGCGGTTAAACCAGCTGCCAAAGCTGTGAAGAAGGCACCAGCCAGGAAATCATCGAGGAAGTAAACAGATCCTCTACTTCATCTCCAAAAGGCTCTTTTAAGAGCCACCCACATACACCGAAAGAGCACTCTCCTATATAATAATATATAATTTAGCATAAATACAATTTTAACAAAACATACATGTTTTGTGTACATCACCACATGACACATTATTTATTTATATATCTGCTTCCATGTTATATTCTAATATTCCATGTTGTGCTTTTCATGTAAAGCGCTTTGAGTCATTGATAAAGCGCTATAATAAATGTAAGGAATTATTATTATTATTATACCACATGGAATTTACCTCAATATTCCAATATTATCTGAAGTACATTGTACTAGTACCTGACCTGGATTACATTTACATTAGTTTGCTTTATTTAACAATACAATCTGGATATAAAGGTATATTTATACAAACATACATTCGGTTTCTGCACTTATTTTCAGTTGATTTGGACGAAAGTATAAGTTATATGTTAGCTAATACAAAGTATATTATAATTATTATAGACATTTCCATAGAAATTGGTTATAATGCAAACACTTTGAAATCGACCATAGTGTTTTTATAAGCGACTACTAGTTTGAAGTAATACTGTATATTCCTCACAATCAGTGAAACTACTAAATATGCTCATTTTAAATGATATATAGCAGGTTAGTAAATAATCACATGAAAGTCCGGCCAGTAGAAAAGCAGGACCAATATCAACGTGTTATTTTAGGGTTTCATTTATTAATTAAATATCATGAATAAATAATAAATGAAACTTCACCTTATTAATCTAAATGTATTTTGGGTACATTTTATATTCAAATGAATTCAATGAATAATGGAAATGTATCTCTATAACAATAATGTAGTCAAGCAGAAAATAGTAGAGCTATAAACAGTATTTAAAGAATATAATTCATACATGAATAATGATGTTTTGTGTATTTTATTAAGTGAGTTTTTAATCCTAAATATTTAGTTTGTATTGAATGTAAATACAATTATTATAAGTATTGTTATGACTATACTATTCTGCCACTGAGATGAGACATCTCAACAGCGTGACCTTTCTTTTTCCGTTCCCAATGAGGAAAGCCTTAGAATAACTGAACCATGAAGATTCAATCATATGTTCATGTAATCAATATTGTATTTATTCAAGTGTAACGATTGAAAAGCCTAAGGAGGCTGGGAAACACTGCAAACAGACACTTTTGTAAAGAGGGATTTCTATTCCTGAATATTATTTTTCAACTTTACGAAGTTATAGCCTCAGAAAGGCTCAACAACATCAACGTATACATGTATTAACTACATTATTACATGTAGCTGGAAGTCAGCTGCCTTCCACCTGAGCCACGGCCCACATGCTGATTCTACCTGAAAACACTGGCATTCACTCTTAATTCACTTTGTCTGTCTTTTCTCGGCCAATCAACACTTCCTGCATTTCATTTTCTCCCTCGTCCTCTCCCATCTGTCTGTGGATGGCTACAATGGGGATGTGTCATTTGGTGCAAAACTTAAGCAGGGTTTGAAACCAAAATAAGGTATGTGTTGAGCCCAAAACAACGAACGCCCAACTAAAGTTCCCGCTGTGATTTTGAGTGAATTTGTACCTTTATGCGCACAACGAGTACACAGCTATGCAGGAAAGAGCGTGACACGAGTAAACAAATACATGAAATGCAGAAATACAGGGGAAAAAACAGGAATATAAATACACAAATAAAATGTGAGAATAATACAGAACACACATTATTATATATCTTTAATGTATTTCTGCATTTATTTTCACTTACGTTTCTGTGTCTGGGCGTGTTTCACAATATGTGGTTTTGCCTGGTCGTCTTGTATTTTGTGGTCAACAACATTTATAAGAAATGTAGTATGTACTTTCAATTGCTCTGAAAGTTTGACATGTCCTTAACAATATCTTTGAGTTGTTATAATATTTTACAAAACTACACACCCTAACTCTGTCTCTGAGGAAGTATTTGAGAAACATGCAAACCAGTTTTAATAATACAATATCACTAACTTTAAGATACATATACAATTTCTAACTATATCTTAATATATAAGTTTATGTAAATATTACATTTAAATGTGAAATAATTATATAAAAAAACTAAATGGCAGTTGGTTAGCATCAGGCCTACAAAATGCAATGTTGGAGGTTAATATGGTGTAATACATGCACTAAATAAATGAGATACAAATGACATTATTAGATGATTTTATTGCTTGTATCAAAATGTGAAATTGTGAAACCATTTGCTGGTTTTTATTTTGAAGGATGGTTGTCGTAACCGGAAACGCATCCGCTCACGGTGTGTGAAAAGAGCAGCAGAGAGGGAACAAAGGAACAGGACAAAATGGCGGGCTAGAATTAACCAGGGTGTCTTCAACCAGGTCCGCATATCAGCTTTAAATATGGGCGATATCCATAGTGAGTACATCATAACTCTGCAATTATGTCTGGAAGAGGAAAGGGCGGAAAGGGACTCGGCAAAGGAGGCGCTAAGCGCCACCGCAAAGTGCTCCGTGATAACATCCAGGGCATCACCAAGCCCGCCATCCGCCGTCTGGCTCGCCGCGGCGGAGTGAAGCGTATCTCCGGTCTGATCTACGAGGAGACCCGCGGGGTGCTGAAGGTGTTCCTGGAGAACGTGATCCGCGATGCCGTCACCTACACCGAGCACGCCAAGAGGAAGACGGTGACCGCCATGGATGTGGTGTACGCTCTGAAGAGGCAGGGCCGCACCCTGTACGGCTTCGGGGGATAAACTCATCTGACTGAAACACACAAAGGCTCTTTTAAGAGCCACCCACCTCACTTTGAGAGCCTCTGTCCTTGTGATAGCTTAAGAACAATTTATCTGATCTTTTTTTATTATATCAACAACTTGAAGTCCTGTATGAAAATGTAAATCCATTTAATTATTAAGGGAATAATCCCTTGTGTTAAAATGTCAATACTATTAAACAAAGTGGTTTATACCTCAAATTGAGAGAATAAACTAACTCGTAATTTATTTATATTTATGATGGGTATACAATCTAACCATGGGTGAATATTCTTAGTAAAAGGAGAACTGTGCACTGGACTGTAAAGTGTGTTCGGTGAATAATCATTGTACACATTTATAATGAGAACAATTAATTAAACAGCACAGTGTCTAAGAAGTGCAATGTTATTGCACTGAAACTATTATCTGCATTCAAACGTTGCCTGTTTAGTGAAATGTCAACATTGGAAGATTTATCTTTCAGAAATTATATTTATGTTTTTCTCGGGAATACAATTGAAATGTGATGTATATTAAAATGGAATGAACCTTTAATTGAGAATAAAAGGAGTCAGTTGAATGTAGTAGTCACTTAGCCAGTTAACCTGTTAAACCCCGAGCCTGTTTTTCAGGTATCAGGCTCGACAATGACATTCCCAGAACAAATGACCATATCTTCCCTTCTAAAAGGGTTAAATTAATAATCTTTTTTCTCAAAGTAATGATAAACCTGTGAGTTGGATGTAGAAAAGTCAGATTCAATATAGATGTTTTTTATTTTAAAGAAAATTCAGATTGAACATGGTAAAAAACTGTAAATTATACTGTCCGTCCAAAAAATATTTTGTACTTATAGTGACAACTAATCTTGGATGATGGGTTAGTAGACTAAAAGCTTTAGGAATCCAAAGTACAACATATAATAAGTACCCTGTATCAAGATTGATGCAAAACAAGTGATATTTGACCTTTTTAGACAGATTTAGCAAAAAAAACCTCTTCTGGGGCCATTTGGGTGGATTTTCCATATCTCTGGCCCCCCCTTGCTCGATTTTGACATGTGACATCTCTTTCTGACAGTCAGAGCCAATGGAATCGAGGGGAACTCCCACATAGCCCTTATTTGGTCATGTGTATGTGTGAGACTGCTGCATCGCCGAGACCGGAAGCAGCAGCTAGCTGTGGTGGCTACCATTAGCAGCTAGCATTTACTCTCCGATCTTTACATAAAAATGGAATTATGGATTATAAATTCAATCAGTTTTTTATACATGGACGTTAAGAACCTATGGATTAACAGATTCAGCCGCGTTTTTTCTCATTTTAATGCCATTGAACACGTACTTTGATCAGATTGACAGCTACTTGTGAGACGATCTCCCTAGAAGCTTCGTAAAGATACGTGTTGTGATGACTGTATTTGCTTCCCCTGTCGCGAGTCCGGATCACTCAGTGATGATACTATATACCTACATAATCTATGGAGTCTCAGCTTTAATCGGATATATTGTATGTGCAGCTATGATAAGTAATAAGGGTACTTTTATCTTGAGTTCTGTGCCAATGTCCGTTAGCATTTTTCGCTCGGGGGTAATTTAGATTCTTCTTGTGAGACTTGTGTTTTGTTTTGGTAAACATGGTTTGTATCGGCAGTTAGCTGAGATTATTTCCGTTAATCTGGTATAACACATTAATAGGTTCTTAAATATTAAGATCCCCTGAGACACAGTATCGTGAAAAAAAGACCCAGGGTCCCCGCCGGCGGGGACCTTCGGGCTTAACAGGTTAAGCCCCATGCACAACAATATTGCACGAAAAAAACCGTTGCTGTTTTCTGATCAAAAGTTGTGTTCATTGGCATTAAAACGCATACAAACGCTGCTGAAGGTTAATCCAATGTCTCTGTGTCACTTTGAAATGATTACTGATAATCCTCAGAGACACAGAGGGCCTCATCACATCACTTTGCGTGGGGCCACAAGTTGGCAAGGGGCAGCCCTGGTACTTATTATGTTATAGTTTGGATTCCTAAAGCTTTTAGTCTCCGATCCCATCATTAGCCGCTTTCACACCGCAGGACTTGCCGTTCTTTAGTGCCGGCACTAAAGTACCACGGCACTGAATCCGCCAGGGGGCTAGTGCCAATCGCATTCACACCGCAGTACTTTCCCATGAGGCAAGATTACGCTGACGTCACTTCGTCTTCTTCTTCTCTGGGTTTACTGGCAGGCCGCAAAACCACTTCACGGCGAGTACAACAAAAAACGAGAGAAGAAGAACTACACGGGGGAGGGGGTATAAAGACCACCCGCTGTATGAGGCGTTTGTTTACTTTCCGACCTCAGACATGATGGAGTTCATAAGGGTAATTTACAAATAAAATACCCCATTATAACAATGGACTTTATCTTTATGTATTTATTATATATTACCCCCTCAGGCTGATTTTGGAAAAGGACATTAACCCTTGTTTGGTGTTTTTCCCTTATTTATCTAAAACAAATGACATGATAAATTACTTGTGTTTATGTGTGTAAGGCTTGTGTTTCTGCCCGTGCCATTGCTGCACAAGGTTGCAACATTGTAGATAAATTCAACCACCGACACCTGTCTTTGGGGTGGGACCATAGACTG